TGTATTGGAACACCTGCCACCTTCAGGGTTCCTAACCATTGGATATAGTATCTGTGGCTGATTGAAAATGAGAGGCCAAAATATGTAGAGGGCTGAACATTGGAATAAATATGTAGAAACATGAAAGAACAAGCCAATTCTTTTTACCTCTGATCTGCCCCTTCCCTACAAAAGTCATTGACAATCTTTGGGTTTCACAGATGTATATTATTTTATTAAAACAATTCAATAAAAATCCATTAAAAAAATCACCTACCATATTCAGGAAAAACTTTTATTTCCAAGGACGTTAGATAAAAAAATAAATGTTATTAGATTAAAAATCAAAATAAGAATTTGTCACCTTTTTATTGCTTGGTAAAATAAAACCAAGCTTGTGATTAAAAAAAAAACTATGACCCTGGGTTTCTAAGCACAAGGATAAACTGGAACCCTTAATTCAAATAGGTTCTCATCCAATTTAAAAGATAATCAGACAAGCATGGATAAGGTTCACTTAGAAACAAGGGGCTAACACCCCAGGAAAACTCCTGTGATCAAGTGTGGGTGAAAATTCACAAGGGAAGGCATTCAGAACATTCCTTCAATAACATTCTCAGCCTGTTGAAGTTTATAGGGTTCTCACAACTGAGCTCAACTATCTTGCATACCAGTTCCAGGTCTCCTGGCTGGCTAAAGTGTCTCTGGAGGCAATGTGTGAGTGGGTGCTGAGTGGTGAGTTCTTAAGAATTATCTTACTACTTCTTAAACAGGGAGTGGTATACTTTCTCAAGAAGCCATTACTAGACCTAACCTCACTGGACAATTATCATCCACTTTCCATCCGGAATCAAACAGGATTCAGGTCCAAGAATGGAACTGAAACACCATTGGTTATACTTTACAATGGCCTTTAATGGGAGATTGGGTAATATTTCCGTCCTCCTTGTTCTTGACTTCTCAGTAGTTTTTAACATAGTTGACCATGATACTGTTTTGGCAAGCCTTCTAAGAATTTCTGAGGCATTGTGAACATGAGTAATCTCCGGCAGAATGCTTGGAATGTCCAACAACTGCCCTCATAGGATCAGGTTAAGCATGCTTTGACAACAATGAAAGATAATAAAAATCAGCTTGGTGCAGCAAGACCTGTGGAGCATAAGGAATTGTGGAATTGCTCTAGCTCAGGCTGTCAAACTCCCAGTCCACGGGCCAGATGCTTCACGTGCTGGCCACGCCCACACCCAGTTTAGTGAAGTGGGAAAGTCCCAATACATCATGTAACACCGCCCTGATGACGAGTTTGATACTCCCGCTCTAGCTAAATGATGCAGTCTTATGTTTAATCTAATGACCATGTTGTTTAGCAACAGAAATTCTAGTCCTAATTATCATTATAACTCAAAGATTACCTGGATATAAATTGAAATAAATGAATAAAATTCCTAAAGTAGGACAGCTATCATTTGTTCAGATGAGATTTTTTAAGTGTTTTTAAAAGAATTTATGAAACACCTTTGTAAGATTACACAAATGATGCAAAACGACTAATACTTTGAAATAAAATACATTAATACATATATACATATATACGGCATTCAGCTTTGTTCGGGTATTTTCCCATGTCATTATAGTTGTGCTTTTAAAGTTGTAGCAACGTTTCGGCAGAATCTCATCTGCCATCATCAGGCTTCTGTATTGTGTTCGTCTGTGAGTCAGATTTTTACAGTTTTTTCAGTTTTAAATTTGGGGCTAGCCTATTGCTGTGCCAGAATGGTTTTTTCTTCATCCTGATTGGTTGGGAGTCTTGGTCTGTGTTTATTGGTCTTGGAGTTTGCTGTGTTCTGCTTGACTGGTGTTTCTAATATCTTCTGTCTGTTTTGTGGCTTTTTTGTGTGTCTTGATTGGCTGGCCACATTGTGTTACTGTATTGGAGGCTTTTAGTGCAGCTTGGCTCCGAGTAAATGGACGGCTACCATTTGTTAGGAAGCTAGGTTTCATCTGGGTGCCTGGTTGGGGTGTCTTTGAGCTGGAGGTATCAGGGGGGATCTGTTTGTGCTCCACACTACAAGCCAGGCAAACACCTGGGCACAAACAGATCCCCCCTGATACCT